AGTCGTGTTTGTATTGCTGTATTGTTTACACAATCCCGATTAGGAAGTAGATACTGCTGACTGTTTTGGTGTTTTACATATCAATCTTTTGGAGAGAGTAAACTAAATCACCCACTTTTCAGTTAGGGATTTTACCAAATTAGGAAATCACCTTCTAGAATAATTCCTGTACCATATCACGAATTTGATTGGCTGTGTAATGCTTTTTTGTGTTCATATTCGCAGTGGGCTTTTATCCTATTTATTCGATATTAAACGATATACTAATAGTTAATATAAAGCATCAAATTTAATTAATTCCATTTGATCCCTCACATTTAACCATTTTAAAAAAAGTAAATGAGACATCAAATTTAAGAGTTTCTTTCGAATTGTTAAGTAAGAAGGTTTAATCTTGTAACTAACATAGTGTCTTAAATAATCTTTATATAGTGTCTAATCAACAACAGCAAAAGAAAACACACAAAAAGAAATGTTTATTTGCAAATTTAGTTGAAAAGTATGAAAGCCTTGGGCTAAGACTTTGCGGAATGGGCAGGTTACAGAAATAGTAAAATGCAAGTGGCCCTGAAATAGCTAGACAACTTGCATATTATTATGATTATGTTCCTGAACTTGCTAACTTGTCTTTAGAATCTCATTCTCTTTGTTTTTCACATTATACTCAAATTGCTGAACTAACCAATTTTATGAGCATCTTGTAGGTTCTGCTCAAGAAAGTCGAATTGCTGAGGATAATTCAAGTGTTAATGAAAGCTCAACAATTAATGTTGAAGATAACCAAATTGTTTATGTAGATTCAACAATTAAGCTTGACGAAGCTAGACAGCTTTTGGAAGTCATGCAAGTAGAAAACCAGCAAAAATCACAGTTAATAATAGACCTCAATAATCAAATTGCGTGAATGCAGTAATATATTGAAGGTCAAAAGCATAAAATAGAAGAATTAAAAAGCCAATTACAGAAAGCTCAAAATAATATGATTGATATTTGGGTTTTATATAATGAACAAAGTAAGTGTAATCATGTTCTTGTTAAATAGTGGAATTCAAGGTTTGCTACTCAACAAAAATATATTGAAGCAATAGTTGAAATAGCAAATGTGAAATGTATATCAGTATTTGATGATATAAGATTTTTAGTTCAGGATAAGTCTAGGTTTTCTGTAGAGAGTCTTATGGCATATAGTCTACACGAATGGCTTACTAAACGTAATTAGGTTGTTGTTAAATTTTTAGAAACCCTAATTCCAAACAATCAAGATGCTAATACCATGAGCCAAGAAAAACTTTTTAAGATTTCTGCAGCCATCGATTTAATATATAGAGCACGATATAATAAATATGTATCAGAAGTTCATCTTGCTACCTTAGCTATCAAGTATTCAATAGCATGATCAAAGATGATCATCGATATTGATAATAATATTATGTGCTCAGGGAGTTATTCTCAATTTCAAAGGTGATTAGAAGACTTATCAAGATATGAAAAGCCATTGCCTGAAGATCTTTTATTCATTGCGTTTGACAATAAACAATGAGGGCAAAAAAATTACCATGACTATGGGTTCAATACAGTGGTTTACCACACTGTTACTAGTTTTGTTGCTTTTAATATGTCAGCTCAAAACAAACTTCAGCATACTAACATTCCTTGGATATGTGATTCTCTTAGCAATTTACAGTACGAAGAGCTTTTTGATATCAGCCCTCAAATGCAAGAAGTTCTTAATAAAGAATTACATGCTTATCTTGCAGATATCCTTAATTTGTTGTTTGATAAAAAATCATCATCTACTAATGTTATCAATTCTCTTGCAGCATCTACAACAACAAATGCTGCAAAGATGAAAAGGTGCACTAACTGCAACCTACAAAATATTGAAAATCGAAAGAAAACATGCCCAATGTGTAGAGCACAATTACTAACATTGGCTGAAATTCAAAAAAAAAAAGAAATCGAAGTCGAGAATCATATAGATAATCAATCAACTAATTTATTTATTTATTTTAAACCTTATAATAGTACTAGTGATGAACTAAGTAATATGCATATTCCAAGGATCAGTTATACCTAGCGGCAAGTCATTGATCAAGGAGTTAATATTCCTGAGATTTTTGTGCCCGATCCAATTAATATTAATCCTAATTCAATCGCGAATGTCGAAAAGGTTCTTTTGCATATAGGAAAATTATCGGGTATTAAGGACGAAACTCACAAGTAGGTAGCAGTAGCATGTGATAGTGTTCCATATCATCATGCTACCAAGTTAAAGGAAAAATGTTCTTGGTTGATTCTCATACCAGGACAGTTACATGAGGAAATGAATATGCTTCGAGCATATGTGAAATTAAATTAGTAGGTTGTTTTTTGTTAAGTGTTTGTGATATTTCAAAAAATAAAGCAATTAAAAATCGCTTTTTTTTATGAATTAGGGAAATTAATATCAAGCGATTTGCAAGATGTCAAGGCTATCGGACAGAAAATCAACTCGCCTATTTCAAGAAATGTGCTGACTATTACAAGTCCTGGGATTCAATTTGTAATATTTATCACTAGGCAATTTCTATGGAACTCGTGTGGCCATATATGAAAAATCATTCTGACTTGTCGGTTGAAAAATATCTTGCTTGGGCTAAGGATTAGCATGATTCACTTTACCAGATAAAGTTTAAACAGGTAATTATTAGCAATTTGTCTCTATACTGCACTAAATTCATCTATACATTATTACTAATAAGTGTTAAATTTATTATAACAGACATTTATCTATCTTCAGGCAATAATTAACTATCGAAAAGCTATAAGAACTAACAATTCTTTTTTAAAGACAGCTGCAAGAAGAGCGTTTTCTCCTGTTTGGTCTGCAAGGTGCCATCCGATTTATTGCCTCATAGAAGTTTCTGACGAAGTTCAATTAATGAGGCTTCATTCAGAAATACGCGATATCATAGAAAAAAATTGTGTTGTTTCCCGGTTAGGTATTTTAGAATAGCATCAAGGCCTTGATGCAATAATAGAGGAGATAAATAAAACCTTGAGAACTTTAATACCTCCTATCTCGCAACAATGACATTGGCAAATAGCTGCACAAAATTGTAAAAGTTCTTCAGGATATGTAAAATTATTTAATTACTAGTAAATAATTATTCCAGTATTCTAATTTTTAACCTTAAATTAAAATTTTAGCTTCGGAAAAATTTACTCAATATAATCGGGTATAACAGTCATCAAGCAGTTAGGACAAGAACCTGGCCCAAATCGAGTATGGAATGCCAAAGATTTCGAATTCATCTGCGAAGCCTTGGATTTGTGAATCAAAGCCTAGAAGAATACGATTTAAATAAGGATCTTAAAAATTTTATGCATTTATCTAAAAAAGCGCGACAAAATTTTATTACTGAAGTATTTATTAACAAAAATCCTTCTTCTTTATTTAGATCAATACTGATCACAAAGCAAGAAGGGAGGCACAAAAAAATGAAAAAAATATGACCAAAGGTGAAATCTTAGCGAAAATAGAAGCCTTTCTTGAACAGCTTTGCGATAATATCATGAAAAAATATTCTGGGTTAAGAGCAAAAAATAAAAATGAATTGCTAATTATATTAAAGGAAATATGAAGTCAACATAATTGCGAAGATCAATAATATATTTTGGCCATATATATATATTTTCTTTTAGCTTTATTTTACTTCTTTACACATTCGAATTCACATGTAATTCAGTAATTAATTAATAAAATTAAATAAAAGTTGAATTTAAATCATTAAATTATATTGTTAAAAAGTACCCCGTGAATTATAAGTTATAAAAATTTATTTATTTTTTAATGATAAAATTAAATATACATGCAAATTTACAAATACAAAATATAAAAATAAAACAATAAAATTCATTCGCCACACTATTGATAAATTAGAAGATTCTATTAAAATTCGATATTGTCAACATTGACACATTCTAATAAAATTCAAAATTTATATTCATTAATGCTTTTTCTATCATCTAATAAAAATCTTTTTCATAAATACTGAAATATTCAAACCTTTTAGTGCAGCATTCCTGTAAAGTAAATCCATTAATGCTTTTCTTCTTTTGTTCTGGGATTAAATTACAAAGTCAATGTTCTTTACAAGATACCTTTGTTAACATTTGACTTTCAATCTACTAATCAGAAGAAAGTTCCTACAAAATGTATTTGTTAATATTTAATACCACCTAATCAAGATCATTTTTATAAAGATCTAAACCTTTTGGTGTAGCATTCTTGTAAAGCGAATCTGCTAATGCTTTCTTTCTTTCGTTCTAAGATTAAATCACAGTTGTTATTTATAATGAGCCTTTGTAACATATTTAAATTTTCCAATCCGCTGAATAAAAAAAATATTCCAGGCTGAAGCACTTTAATCTTTTTACAAAACCTTAGATTTGAAATATTTGAATGTGCCTTACTTAGTACTTGATGGTCTGGCATCTATTGAACTCAATCAATGCATTAAAATCCTTATTTTAATCTGCTTGAAAGTTTTTTAAAACAATTTAACACTTTGAATAAATTTATTCGAATATTCCGGTATTCAAATCTTTTGTTTCCAAAGTTCACTTCTATTGATCCTCCTTGTGATCTAAATCCAAAATGCCTTCGAAATCACTATGTAGATGGCACACGGTCCCTTAAAATGTTATTTAAATTTCTGTTTATTAAAAAAAGGGTATAGAGTTAGTGTATGAGCAGTGAACTTAGAAAAATATAATAAGTTACGCAACAGGTTTAATTTTATTAGTTTTCAAAAATTGGTTTTTGATCTCATTATAATCCTGTTTCATTTCATCTAACTAACATGTTATTTTGATAATTTCTGTTGTAGAAGGTCGTTTGTCAAGATCTTTATTTATACATTTTATTATTCAATATTTCAGTATTTAAGTGATAGATTTGTAGGCTATATAAAATCCAAAAATCGATTAATATAGGCTCTAATCTGATTGGCTAATTATTGTAATACGTAGAATAATCTAGTAAAGAATTCTAGAATAATTCTATTGATAATCATTTCTAAATATGGTATGATCGTCAATTGCCAAATATGGTAAAATTACTGACTGCTTTTTACAAAATTTTCCTCGAAAAAAAGAGAAGGTATGAGGTGAATTAAACTATAGTTTTTGTGAATGCTTAACCCTTTTGGGAGTTTCTTGTAGGTTTTACAGTTGTATAGAACTAATATATCCAACACTGTTGTTTACTTTATGAGAGACTTTTAGCTTTTACCAACTACTTCTTCTATGGTTCTAGAGCTTCTTTAAACCATTATCACAAAGTGATAGCTTCTTTTTTAACTCTATTTTAATGCCCACTATGTATGCCCAGTGCTTCAGAGAAGTTTTCATAAAGTGTAATATATTAACTATATCATTTTTCTGTAGTTTGGCATTTTGGAAGGTTTGGTCCAGATGATCATCAGATTGCATATAATTATACTATATATATATTATATTTTCTAATTATATTATATATTAATTATACTATATTTTCTAATTATACTATTTTCTAATTGTATTATATATATATATATATTTTAATTATACTATATACTATTAATTATACTAAATTTATTGAATCTTCTTTAATATAAGTAGGTATATATAAATTATTACAAAATTATAATATATAAAAATCATTTAATTTAAGCCATTTTATATTATAAGCTTAATACTAACTCTGATTATTTATAAATTTATTTAAATTGATTTTTTTTTTGAAATACCAAAGTAGAAATTTTATTAAATAATAGAAGAATTACATTAAAGATTTCTAAACTACATTTGTGCTACTTATTTTAAGACACCTAATATGACATTACATCTCTATTTCTATATAACACTATTATTAATAATTTCAAATTAATTTTAAATATAGAAACGTTGAAGAAAACCTAAAGTGATAGTCTTGGCATTTAGTAAATACAATTAGTAAGTGAATAGCCTAAGAATAATCAGTTTTTAATAAACATAGTAGGATCAATAATAGATGTATTTGAGGTATTGAATGTTAATTAAGGAGTAGGAATTAAAAAATAAATTTTTGAATATTTGGATTTGTCAATTATATTGTGAGTTTTTTCTAATTGTTGTTGAAGAATGTTATGTAGTAGCCATATTTGTTGATAAAACTAATTAAGAGAAGTATTAGATAAAATTATAAAAAAGAGTAATGTTGTTTTATGAAAGAGCATTTTAATATTATCATATAAAAATATAGAGTAGAGGTCTTGAATAAAATTTAAAAAATTAAGATGTAGTAATGTATTAAGATAGTAGAATAATGTAATTTAAATAGTATTTGTAATTTCAGCAGAGATATTTAATTGTTGAGTAATATTTGTAGTTAAGTTATGAAGAATTTGTTGAAGATTGAATTTTTGTTTAAAGTATATTAATAAATAAGATATATCTTCGATAGATTGACAATAAACACAATTTGGAGTAGTATATAATAAAGAATAATATATATTAAGATTTTGCATAATTAGTAAGTTGTTATTGATAATTTTTAGTTGAAATAAATAGAATTTTTGATTATTATTAAGTAAATTAATAATATTAAGATTGGTAAACTATTTAAAAAAACTGGATTTTGAAAGTATTGAAGTTGTGACCAAGTAAGAAGTGATTGAATAGTTATAGTATTTGAAAAAAGAAGCAAATATTAGTAAAAATTATATAATCATTTCATATAAAGTAGGGAGAAAGTATTGTTTTAAAGTTAAATATAATTTGGTATTTGTTTAGCTAGAAGATCAGCTTAATTATGAAAAGGGTTATTAGAATAAAATTTAATTTTATAAAAAGAAATATTAAGCAACTTTATTTTAATAAGATAATGAATAATAAATAGAATATTCCAGTTTTTTATATGCATGAATTTATGTAATAATGAAAATAGTTGAATATAATTAAGTACAAAAAGATTGTCCAAATGTATATTATTTTATGAATTTATTGATAAGATAAGAAGAAGATATATTATTACTTTAAGTTCAGCTCAGGTAGAATCAAGATATGATGAAATAGAACAGTTGAATTTGAATTAAATATTGTGTTCAGAAATCCATCCAAATCCAATTTTAGGATGTAATATTTGAGCATTAATAATTGAGATATCTGTATAAAAATAAATATTGTTTGGAAAATTTTTTGCTAATAAAAATAATTTGATAAGTTGATTTTGGTAATTAGAGTGTAATATGTATTTTTGTATTATTTGTATTTCTATTTCAGCAATGTATATAATTGGAGTTTGAGTTGGTATGAGTGATTGAGAAATTTGTTGTAGTATATTGATAAGTACATAAATTTCATGATTATTAATGTTAAGAAAATAGATATTATCTTTTTTTGATGATTTAATATTTGAAATATTAATGAAGGTTTGAGGTATTAGTATAGGAGAGTTAGTAGAAATCAAAGATATTGAGCTATGAGCAGTGTTATTAATTAAGAAAAAATTAAATAAATTCTTTGTAAAAAGAATTTGTGAATTATTGAGAAGAATTAATTATTGATTTAATGATAATAAATAATAAGATGTAATTATATTAAGAGAATTAATAAACCTATTAATATTAGATAAGTTAAAATATGACCATGTTTGGTGAATAGTATTATTTTGAATAAGATTATAAAATTTGGTAAATCAGAAAAAGTAGGTCTATGTATGGATTTTTTAGTTCACATATATATATTATTTAAAGATAAAAGATATAAGTTGTCAGCAGCTGTGATTTGTTCAATAAAGAATATTTTATTATTAGAGACTATTTGTTAAGAAGAAAGAAATATTAAATAGAAGAATGTCATATATTGTTTTGGTTATTATAAGAATGTTAGTTGGTAATAAATTTAATGAGTTATTAAGTAAGAAATAAATATTAGAGTTATGTTAAAATAAAAGTTGAAAAATAAAAGAAAATTTTTAGTTTTTAGTGAGAATTTAGAGAGTGTATTTAAAAGAAAAAGTGGTTTCCATATTTTAGTAGCTAGTTTTTAATTCAGGCTTCACCAATATGTTCAATTGTTAATATTGTGACTTTTTGAGTTAAATATTGAAATGTTGAAAGTTTAAAAAACAGTATATTTGTAAAAAGAATATTGAATGTATTTTTTGCTAAATGGAGTATTTTTTTTGTTGTAATTGAAAGTAGTCATGAGAGTTTTTGTTGTTATGTTTTGGATATTAATAAATTTATAAAAGATATTCTAAAGATAGTTGTAATATTATATTAAAGAATATAGAGATTTATTTAGATGTAAGTTGTTTATATTTAATTAATGAGAAAAAGTTTTTAATTTTGGTTTAAAGCATTTCAAAAGTTAGTTTAGTAGAACTATTTCCATCAAAATAAATACTAAGGTACTGTATAATTTCATGTAATTTATGTAAAGGTATTATTTGATTATTGTAATAAAAGGTAATATAATAATATTTAGTTTGTTTTTGTTTTAAGAGATATATAAAAGATCAGATTTAGTTGGATTAATTTTGATGTTATTAAGATTGTATAGTTGTTGTATATTGTTAAGAATATGTTGAAGGGTTTTAGAGTTTTTACTGTGCCAAACAGTGTTATCCATGAAAGCTATAGAAGATATAATTATTGAAGAAGGTGGTATATTGAAAATAATCTTAAGTGGTGAAGATGAAGTAATTTTAAATAAATGATTATTATATTTATTATGAATATAAGTCAGAATTGGATTATAATAAACTTTTTAAAGAAGAGGTAAGTATGTTTTATCTTATTCAATACCTAATTTGATATGAACAGGTGATATAAGACTATATGCAGTAATTATTCTTGCTTGTTAGTCTGTATGTAGTTCAGTAATAAGTTGAATTCTTTTGAAAGAAATACCAATTCTTTTGCAAGTATCCTGTAGTTAAAATATGTTGATTTTATTAAAGGCTTTAGACATGTCTTGAAATATTATCTAAGCTTCTTTGTTGAAATGTTTTAGTATCAATAGTATTATTAAGAATTTGAATAGGAATATATATTGAAGAGTTTTTGGTAACAGTGAAGTTGAGATTTAAAAAATGTTTATTAGAGTTAATAATATAATCTAGTTTTTGTTAAAGATTTTAGTAAAGCATTTCTTTATTGGTTCTATAATTAAAATTGGGCTAACTTGATTAAGTATAAAGTCCCATGAGGATATTTTTGAAATAAAAAAAATATTAGAGCAAGTTAAAAAAAAACAAATTCAATTTGAGCACTAGAGTTGAAGATGAGAACACATAATATAATTGATCAAGCTTTTGAAAAGAAATAAATAGAACAAAAGGTGTATATTGCACAATAAGAAAACTTAATACAAGAAAGACAACAGTGATTAAATGCATAATGAATAGTTTACTAACACTAGAAGAACTAAATAGAAGAAGACCAGAAATATACACAATGACAGACTGCC